TCTCTCTCTCTCTCTCTCTCTCTCTCTCTCTCTCTCTCTCTCTCTCTTCCTCTCCGTCTCCCTCTCCATGTTTAGTCTACTGATTTTATTTTCCTGCTCTGGACTCTTTGAGATGCCTCTAGCTGCACTCTCCCTCATATCTATGACAAAACCTTCCCTCAACTATACCCTGGAACAGTCACATCCTTACTTCATACATCTGGTGCTGAAACCCAGAAGAGGCATATATGAGGCCCCTAACCAGGTCAAGCCGCTCCTAACCAAACCAATCATCTGATCTGACTCTCCTAAGGCATGTTTTAATCATTATTTTTTCTTCCGGCTTCCATCACCCATCATAGTTGTTTCTAAACTCTGGAGTCCGGCTCTTCAGCTGCTTCTTCCCTATAACATAAATTATAGTAATGTAAGTGTAAGTGAATGAATCCAGCAGCTGTATATCTTTATCCTAGCTATGTAATGACATAGAAAAACTTCACCTCAGTATCTGGGCAGTCAAATGATCTATCTTAATCCCCTAAACTAATCTGGCTACCTCCCAGCCATGATCACAGTATACTTGCTTCTTATTATTGGTCTGGCTTTTTGGGCCTCATGTGTGTTTCTATGATTCTCTCTCTCTCTCTCTCTCTCTCTCTCTCTCTCTCTCTCTCTGGACCCATTCTTCATTGCTTCAACTCCTACTCCTTTTCTCATTTCTCCTTCCCCTGGTTGGTGGAAGTTCCTTCCACCCTATTCTCTCTTCTTCCCAGCCATTGAGTGATCAGCATTTATTGACAAAGCAGAAAATAAATGGTAAAACTTGTTTATGCAAACTTGAGACAGGAGATTCTTGACATAAGTGTTACAATGCTATGTGTCCAGATTAAAATGAGATAGGAGGGCAGATAAATCAACATTTGAACAACACAAGGCTAACCTTTACACAACGCACAAAAACATGCCTATACTTCCTTCTATCTGCTCTAACCATTCATCTTTCCTTGCCCACTTAATAATTGTCCTTGTAGTCTCTCTGGCTCCTAGAGTGATCTCTCTGCTAAGACAACTTACCCCTCTTCCTCTGTTCAAATCCACCCTTTTCCTAAAAGCCTCTCCCAGTCCACATCCTCAGCTGCTTTCTCATCTACCTTCTCTAACCACTCATCTCTCCTCTTCTAGGTAAATAGCACCCCAGAGCCACCTGCTATCTACTATTACTTTAAAAGCCACACAGATGTGCCAGGATGCTCCTCTCACATTCTTTGGTCCCCATCAATATGGAAAGGGATGCCTCTCCTCAATAATTTGGGACATTTCTCTTTCCACTTGGGGATGCCCAGATTGAATATTTGTCACTAAGACACCCTTCTCTTTCCCACCCTCTCTTTCTCCCCACATGTTTCTTTCTGGGGTCTCCTCACCTCCCCACTAGGGGGTCCTCTCTAAGCTCTTCAGCTTCTTTACGCCCTTCTGGGCATCTACCATATTGGAATCCTCACTCTGTGGAGTTCCTGCTTGCAACCCTGTCCCTCATGGCAACCCTGTTCTCCCCTGTCTCTCAGCTCCCTCTTAGAACTTATTGGAACTTATTGGAACCTTTCATCTAGTGGATCTCCTATTTATTACCCTTTCTTCTTCCCTCCTTGGACTCAGAGATTTCATTAAACCCTCACTGTCTTACTGAAAGCATCTTGTTCTCATTACAACTCAATGGTCAAAAATGGCACATTTGATTTCCAAATTCTTTCATAAGGTAACAACTTCTACCACTATACAAACAAATGATCCCCAAATTTCTTCTATATAACTTTCTCTGCTCTACATTCTCAGAAGCCTCTTATCTCTAAGCTTTTTATACTTTCCACTCTTTTTTTTTTTAAAGATTTGTTTATTTATTATTTATTTTATTTATGAGTACACTGTAGCTGTCTTCAGATACACCAGAAGAGGGCATTGAATCTCGTTATGGGTGGTTATGAGCCACCATGTGGTTGCTGGGATTTGAACTCAGGACCTCTGGAAGAGCAGTCAGTGCTCTTAACCGCTGAGCCATCTCTCCAGCCCTATACTTTCCACTCTTAAAAATCTTTTATCTCTATAATTTCTTTGCTCTACTTTCAAACAAAATCTCTTAAAACTATTGTGCAATTTCTTTAACTCAGGATTTGTAAGTTTATTGGTCATGGTTTTAAAAAAAATATTGTAAAACTTGTGACAAAAGGCTTACAACTTATAACAAATGGCTAATAATTGTTAAAAATCTATACATAGGTAATCTTAATCTGCTATAGCAACCTATATATTTGATTCAACTCTTGTTTAAACAAGTAGATCTATGATGGCATGCTGTCTATATAACTTTAGGAGAATAGATGTTTTCAAATAGCAACCAGGTTGCTCACCTCCATCTTGGCTGATGACTTCATCAGAATGGAAACAACCATGTTGTTGGCTGGCAGCCATCTTTGCTAAAGTTATAAAGGGTACATGTAATTTCACCACTATCTTAATTCAGATGACTATATAATATAAACAAACCAAGACAACAATCATAAAACTTCTTAGTCCTATTGAGCCCTCTGCTTATGATTGTATCTCCTTTTTAGATTAAGGAAGAAATAGTAGGTCTCCAAAATATTTTGGATTAGTATAGATTTGTGTATGATGATAAATTCCTAAGGTCATAAAGGTATGCCTATGTTAACAGTACCTTAGAGGTGTACGTCTCACTACTTATGCCTTTGCTAACTGTTTAACACCAGGCTTCTAGAAATTTTTAGATAAGGTTTGATGACATATGTTTGATGAATAAGGGATATTTAATAAATAAGGTTTAAAAAGATCTGCTCAGATAAGCAAAAGCTGACTTAGAGCTTTATGGCTAATCATTTATATCCTTATTAATTGTATTCAACATCAGGCTTCTAGAAAACTTTTAAGAGGAACAACGAGTTGGTAAGTTATTTCTCTGTGGGTTAAAAGAACCAACTCAAGCCAGGCTAATACATATATACACATGAGTTTGCTGAGAAGCTGCTCTCAGGCAAGCCAGTTCATTGGCCCTGAAGGAGCCCAGTGAGGTTGATATGTGGAGGGAGACAGAGGGAAAGGGGAAGAGAAAGAGAGAAAACATATATGCAGAGAGAAGGAAAATAGCCGGGAGAGACCAAAATGCCTGGGTTATATAGGAAGAGCCTCTGAGGAAAAGGCAGCAGGAGCTAGAAATTTCTTGGGAGAGGGCCTGTATGCCAGTAGGGACTGGAAGATGCTGGGAGAATCTGGAAGCCAAGTTTACTTCGGTATGTAAAATATGAACCTCAGCCCCTTGTCTCAGGTCTGAAACCCAACACATATTTGAAGAATAAGATATGTTTGATAAGTCGGGTTTATAAATTTCTAAGGTCTATTCAGCCTGACAGAAACTGCTCTGAAGATATTGTATCCAGCCCCTTTGTCTTTGTAACTGTATTTGTGGTTCAAAGTTTTATTTGGATGCTAAATAATCTTCAATTAAGACTTCAATTCAAGTTTTTAATGTCCAACCTTAAGTAGGATGAAATTGCAAAATCCCAATCTTATGTAAGGTATTAACTTGTTGTAAGCTGTTAAAGATAATTAAGACATGCAAGTTCATGGTCAGTTACCTTATAAATGATCAAATTTTTTTAATGTGTTCAAAACTACACTCATAGTGATGATGAGTACAAATATGATTCATTTACGAGGACAAGCTTTATTTAGCTTCCTATATATGGTTTCAACGTTAAGCCTAAAGCAAGTAACTAAAAATAAGTACAGTTTGTTTAAACAGGTACACTAAATAGATGGTCCTCAAACTCCTCAGAGATCGGCTGAATATGGCATTTAAAGTGTTTAATGAGAAAGCTTCCCATGATACACAGAAATGCCAGCTCTCCAAAGAAGACAATGGGCACAGATGACTCCACCTGGATTGTGGTAACACTAACCATTGGGAAATGAACTGCTCCATGCCTCTCCCACTTCCAGGGCTCTGCTCCCTGAACTGAAGACACTGAACTGTAGGGTTAATTGCTCTCCTCTGCCTCCCCAGGATATGTCAGGTTTCCCAAGTTCCTCCTCCACAGGAAAATCTCTCAGACCTTCTGAGTCTGGCAGCTGAGGAATTAATAATGTCCTGGGTGAAAGCCAGAAGACTGATAAACTCTGCCCCCAGTGAAGCTCTTGAGATTATCATGGGGGAACCTAGGATAACTGTCTAGATAGTGAGTAAATCTCTTGTCATTTTAATTGATGCAAAGGCTATTTGAGCTATACTTCTTGCCCTAATTTATCCTTTTCAGATCTCTG